CCCACAAAGCACATGGCCAACTCGCTATATGCCTGCCCTGACAAAAGGCTCCCCCACATGTGCATTGCTGAGGTCGACCTCAAGACGTGCAGCTCCAAAAAACAGTGCGACATCAGGACCTGCCTCTCCCTCAACAGAAGGCACATGTGGGAATTGAAGAAAGAAAGCATGATACCCGTCTTCCCACCCAGCTAAAAGCAGGCCCAAAGGAGAATCGTGGGGCTCCCCCCTGCCTGTTGCAGCCTCTGCCTATGACATCTCCCCATGGAAGGACAAGCATCATGCACCCTGAGGCCATGAGGCCCACAGGAGTGAGTTTGGCAGTGGGGACGATGCTGAACTCCTGCCAGGCCTTCCTCCTGGTGTTCCGCTGGTCATCTCATCCCACAACTCTATACGCTCCCCTCCCGGGACAAGCCCACACTCACCATCCAGGGGCCAACCCTCCCCACCCTGCCCTTTACCTGCCATGCTGGCCGCTCTTCGCTGCCCACAGGCAAGCCCAATGATCTCAGCAGCTCCTGGCTCGGAGGCTCCAGCTCGGCAGGGTGACCCGCAGGGCGATTACCTCAGAGCTTTCCAAAGAGGCCCGACCTACGGGTGGGTGTGGGACAATATGGCCTTCCTTACCGGAGCCTTGGGGGCCTCCCTGGCCCTCTGAGGAGCGTAACTCCTTCCCTGTCCTCCCTCTGGGGAGGAACACCAGGGCCCAGACCTCCCATGGCAGGGCCCCCAGTGGTGAGAGACAGAGGTGCTGTAGGGAGGTCAGAGGCTAGAAGAGCAAGATGCAACATTGCACTTCCCAATACCTGTGAGTTACAGTCATACTTCCCTCAGTGTATTTTTTTAAAAACTGAGTAGATGCCAACAGAGATAGCATGTAAAAATCCAGATCTGTACCTTCTGAGACACTTACTGGAATGGCCTCTATCACCACGAGAATGGCCCCCAATCAGTTGGAGCTGTGTGTGTCCTGGAAGTCTCCTACTCCCTGTTGTGGCACACACATCCCATCTCACCTCAGCCCCTCCAAGTCCCTTGTGGACATCACCCGCCTGCCCTGTACCTATCTGAGTCTGATCACTGCTTGGAAGCTTCGGCTGAGGGCTGCTAGGCATGACAACTTAAGGTCAAACTTCGCTCAATGCTTCTCAGCTTCTGTAAGAGGAATGGATGAGACAGCCCCAGAAATCAATACACTTACTATCCTTCCACCAAAACTTACAAAGTGTCTACTCTGTGCCAGCTCTGCACAAGGCACTGTGGCCACAGAGAATGTCTGAGAAGCTTCTGAGGGCAGAGACCACTGGAGAAGATACCAGTGAAATCTAGGATAGGTCTAACTGCTTCATCATGCCAGTTATTCCTCATGCCTCACTCCCCAGCCAGTCTCCAGGTTCCCTTCTCTGCAACAAAGAGGTTCCTCCTGTGGACTTCACCCGGTGGCCCCCACTCCAGCTGGCTCCTGCCTGGGAGATCAGTGGGTAAAGGGAAAGAAAGATCTTGAGGCATTTCTCCCCTGCTTCCTCCCTGCTTTGATGCATCTGGCAGCAGCTGCTTCTTTGCACAGCTCAAGTGCCAAAGAGGTGGCCTCTCCTATAAGGCTCCAGCCCTTCCTGGGCCCCAGTGACATCAATGCCCTCCTCCTTGCCCTTCCTAAGTGGGAACAGCACTTTGCTGCTGCTGGTCCCAAGTACCTCAATATCCTTTATTGGTTCCCTTAATCCTATGTTACAAATAGCTTCTTCATTACATTCTCTTCAGAATCCCACCTTCCATTTCCTGCCAAGACCTCACAGATACAGATACCACCTGCAGTCCAAGTCAATTCCATATCTCCAGCCCAGAAAACCCCCAAGCTTTTCAGCAACCTGCTGGATGGTTCCTTTTGGATTCAAACTGGATGCATCTAAATCCAACCCACTATCATCACCCTCCCACAATTGTAAAAGATCCCAAGGCCTTCCAGCTAACACGATGCCTTCCTCCCCTCCTTCCACAAACATTACCAAGCTCTGAGTCTTCCTTCCCTTCAATTCACACTCTAACATATTTGGAGAACCACTGAATGGCCATCTAATTGGTCTTCCTGTCATCACACCCAGGCTGCAGTTTATAAAACATATATGGGGGATGTCTCCCCTGTTCAGGAACCTTACACAGCACACTATTTGTCCACACAACACATTCTGAACCAAAGCCTTTTACAATGTACTCTTCCTATGGCTGACTTTAATTTGCCCTCACGTACCCAACCAGTATGAACCCTACGTGTGCACCCTCCCCTCCCACTTCTGCCCCACCCATTCTTCAAGGCTCATCGAGGTCTGTAGTGCTCTTGAGGCCCTGCACCCTCACCACCTATCCAGCCACGCGTGTGGCAAGGACTCGCGTGCTGCCACACATTGCCTCTGTTTGGTCTTGCCTGCGAGTCTGCATGGCCCTGACGAGAGGGGGTTCCAACATCCCCCACAGGGCCAAATGCACAGGACATGCTTGTTAGATATGAGTAACATCCATTTCTGGTTTCAGAGCTGAGCCCCTGGCCTAGTGGAAGGGGCTAACCATGGTGGGGGCCAGGCAAAATGCACATGGATCCTTCGGCTCTCCATGAGAGCTGGAAAGGAGCTCCCAACAAACCAGAAGCTACTTCAGAGCCCCACAGAAGGAAGGAAGGAATCAGGGTGACATTTCCAGAGGGGCCATGAGTTCAACTTCACCTGCTGCTCCCATGATGCCCCCAAACCTGACATTGCACCAACCACACCTCCGTGCGCTGCCAGCCTCCTCTCCAATCAGGGAGCACAGGTGGGAGGAGATACGAGAACACAGAGGTGGCAAGGGGTCCCCGTGGAGGAGGGGATGCTCACCTTGAGGTTCCCGTCAGCCGTGATTCGCAGGCGGTTGCAGGTCCCACAGAAATGCTCAGACATGGACGTGATGAAGCTGATCTGGCCTTGGAAGCCAGGGATTTTAAAGGCCTGGGCAGGGAACAGTGAGAGCAAAAGGGCAGTGGAGGGGATGGGCTACTGAGCCCAGTCTTTCACTCCATGACATCAGAACCTCCACTCCTCAACCCTCTCCCAGAGGACCCCATGTGAAGCTCCACCCAAGGCCCTCAGGTGATAGAAGACTCTGGTAGGATGGATGACCCATGGGCTGACCTACACTGGGCTTGCCCTAATAAAAGCTGCTAAGGCAGGGACCTGTGGGCAGCATGTTTAGAAAAGTCAGTGTGGAAGAGGGACGAGCACCCCCCCTCTGCCACTTCCTGGAGTGTGTCCTCTGACACGTTATTGAGCCCCCCACCCTAGCCGAGCCCATATCTTCCTCCATGAAACAGGGAGGCGGTTGTGATAGCACTGATGCTTCCTGCTTAAACAGCACCATCCCACATCACAGCATCCCCACCACAGGGCAGCCCCCTACTAGCTCTCCATCCTCGGTTGGAGGCACGACCTTCCTCCAGGCCTGTCCCACACCCTCCTGCTCCCTAACCTTGGCTGTGCTGGATTCCTCCTCTGGCAGCTTCTCCAGCTCTGGCCACTGCTGCCGGATAGTGTCCAGCATCTCCTTATAGCTGACCATCTTCTTGAAGTTCCACTTGTTGCCTGTATTTGGGTTGGGGGAAGGCAAGGGGAGCTTCTGAATAAGAGTTGAAGGGGCCCCGGGGTCTGAGTCCATCCCCTGCCATAGCATAGCAATCAGTTCTCAGCCTCTTAGATGGGAGAGATGGGAGCCCTGCCTAAAACTGGTGGATTGAATCACATCCACAGTGGACTCCGAGAAGCCACCAACAGCCCATCATAATCCTAGACCCACCGCCCCTGAGGTCAGCCATACCCAGCAGGTGAGCCACCCTGCGCGACCTGCAGGCCCAATCCCTTCTTCCCTCCCCCACCTGTCCCTAGTCACTGACCATCAAAAGGCATGTACTCTATGAAGCGCACATCCAGGGGGAGGCCCTCGGTCAAGGCCGCAAAGTCCAGGAGTTCATCCTCGTTAAGGCCTCGCATCACCACACAGTTCACCTGGCCAGGAAACAAGGGGACCAAGAGGGCTGTGCCCCCTGCATTCTTTTGTGGAGATGACCCTTGGGGGCCTGGCACTCACTGAGGCCTTCCACTCAGGGACCCATTCCTTGCTTCTCCCACTCCAGTTCTCTAAATTAGGGGATTCCAAGGGGTCACTGATTTTCTCGTTTCTCTCGAGGGTGGGCAGGGCTGGACCAGCAGGGAGAGAAGAGGTGGGAGGGTGCACATATTTCAGCCATGCTAGCCAGAGCTGAGGGCTCTCAAGTGGGCCAGGGAGCGTTGAGGGGAAGGCCAAGGCGGTGTGGAGGGAAGTCGGGAATCTACCGCGGGGGCACGATCTCACCTTCACAGGGTTGTAGCCCAGCTCGATGGCCTTGTGGATGCCCTCCATGACCTTGTGGAAGCCTGGGAGGGAGAAACAAGGATCCAGGAACTTATGTCCTCTCTCCTCTTCCCCCACACCCCCATGGAAAAGCACCAGAGCCCATCTAGTCTGGAGATTGGCAAACGTTTTCTGAAACAGGCCAGAGTAATACCATAGGCTTTGTAAGCCAAGAGGCAACATTGAGGATCCAAGTAAGTATATGTCACAAAGTGTTGACTAAATTCAAAATGTAATAACTGAGTACAACGTTTTGTAAAACAGATCTACAAATGGGATACAATAATGCAATTCTTTTTGTAGGGACAGTATTTTGCTTAAATGGGGTTCATAGTTAATGTTCCCTATCATTAACTGATTTTGAATGTTATCTGTAAAATGCATTCTTGGCTCAAAGGCTACATGAAAATAGGCAGGGGGCTAGATGTGGCCTGTGGGCCGTGCATGCTGACCCTGGATCTAGCTGAACCCTCTTGTAGTCTACAGGAGGAAACTGACCCAGAGAAAGGCAATGCCCTGCCCAAAGCCCCATGGCTCCATCTTTCAGAATGCAGGTTTCCACTCCCATTTCAGTGTTTTCTCCTCAACAGTCCATCAATTATTCACTCAACACATACTCTCTGAGCACCTACTACGCACAGGTGCTGTTCCAGGGCTGGTAAGCGATTATTTGTCTCAATAATCATTAACCACAGTCGATGTGACCCCAGGCTGACTTCACTGCCCAGTTCTCTCATGCATTAAATCACTTGATCACCTACTGCATCCTGGTCCCCTACAGCACCCCCAGCCTGCACAGCCTGGGTGGTCACCTGTGAGACAGGGTGCCTAGAGATGGCCTCCATGGTTTCCTTGCAGCATATTCAGACTGCTCAGTGAGAGGGTAAAGGGAAAAAACGTATAGTTTTGAAAAAAATAATGCTGCTAGAATAACCTAGAACTATAAGTTTTCTTTTCTCTAAAACACTCCCCTCCAAAGGCAGATGATGGACAAAAGAATATGAATGGGAGGGAAGATCCAATGTCTCCAATCCATGTGCCAGGAAATGAGAGACAAAAAGGGAGAACGTGTATGCGGGCAGTACAGCCCACAGATCCACCTCCCACTTTCCCACCACAGAGCCCTTGCAGGTTCTGTACTCCTGCTCCCCCTCAGAGTATGTGCCATTGATTCAAACCCTCCTGTTCCTCAAGGCCAGCATACATGCATCCTCCTTGAAGCCCTCCTAGTTCTCTCCTGCTAGGAATTCTTTCTTCCTCCCTGTAACACTTTAATCAATATCACAAGACCAGCAAAGGCTGTCCCGTGGAATGACATCTTTTGGCCCTTAGCAGCCTGTAAGGCCAGGGCAATGTCTCATGTGTCTTCTGTCCCCTCCACGGCACCTCGAGCAGCCCTCCATAGAGGAAGGAGACACCATGAGTGCTTCCTCAGCACATGGAGGGTATTAAAGCAAGGCATCACACCCCATTTATGAAAAGGAAGGAAAGAAGGTGGTGGGGAAGCTGTTTCTAAGGAAGAGGAAGGAGATCTGGGTCTCCCTGCCATCCCTCTCATCCTCCAGAGTCCTCAGTCATGTACCCCCCTCCCTCATATCAAAGGGTATCCAAACCTGAAGAGCCTTTGCCCCAACATGAGGTCCATGCCAAGGGGAAGCCAGGCACTCGTCTACTGTGACCCAGAGCTCGAGGCTGGCTCCACCTCTCTACCTTGGGCCTCCATGAGGCAGCTGAGTGGAAGGTGTGGGTGTGCTTGCAGTAGGGGGTGCATAGGAGGGGCTTATATCCAGGTGGGCACAGGGACAACCATGGGGGACTGCTGGGGGAACCCCACCCGGCAGCACACACCCAGATCCTGGCATCCTAGGGCAGCGACTTCCACCCTGGGCTGTCCCATGTTTCTTCAGAGCTCATCGTATAATGATCAACTCGGCCCAGTTTGCCACAGACTGTCTTGATTTTAAAACTTCAAGTCCTTCATTCTAAAACCCCCTCAAGTCCTGGGCAAACTGGGGCTGGGGCGGTGGGGAGGTTGGTCACCCTAGGTCATTAGCGTCTGACCCCCAAAGTCCCTGACATACATTTGGCAAGGATGAGGGGTGAGAAATAAGTGCTTTGACTTACCGATAGCCCAGACAACAAGAAGTGACCAGTCCCCTCGCTTGGCAAGGGCCCTCCCTCCCCAGCTATGTGCCGGCCCTGGGAGGGACACCCGCCTCATCCACATCCACTCACCTTTCCTGCGGACGATGAACTCAAACTTGGCAGGCACCAGGGTGTCCAGGCTGATGTTGATGGCACTAAGACCAGCCTTCTGAAGCTGGGGCAGCAGCCGGGCCAGGTTGATGCCATTGGTGGTAACACCGATGGTCCTCAGCCCTTCCAGCCGCTGCAGCTGGGCTATAAGGACAGCAAGAAAGGGGTCAGACTGCTTGCTTGTTCTTGGTGAGGCTGGGAGAAGGGCTGGAAGGCAAAACTCTTTGTCCAGACAAGATGGATGGAAAAGAGGCTCTCTGTAGACCTATATTAGCCAGACCTAACCTAAAAAGAAAGCTAAGAATCAACACTGGCAAGAATAATGAAAAGATTAAGCATTGAGTGCCCTGTGCTAGGTGATCTGCGGAGGGCTTTGCATACATTAGCTCACTGAGGCCTCACAATAACAATTATCTCATTTAGTAGATAAGAGGTGCTCTGAAAGATTATGAAAATTGCTTAATGCCACACAGTAAGAAGAGTTGGCATTTAAATCCATGTGTACTTGACTCAGGACTCTGCTCTTAATAACCAAGTACTACACAGGTCTTGATACTCTGTATAATGGAAACAAAGTGTTTGAATTAAGTGCTATTTGATAGCTCCATTCTACCAAATATCCCTAGAAATAATGGAGAGATTTTAAAAATCCATAATAGCATTGGAAGGTAAGAAAGAATACTGCAGATAGCCCAGAAAGGTAAAGAAGTACAGAAAGAGAGAAAGCAGATGGGACCGATCAGATGGATAGAGACCACAACTCAAAGTGCACCCAGGAGAAGGTTCTGTAAAAACAGGGAGACAGTAATGTGCACGCAGCTTAGTAGTCACATGTACAGGAGCAGGGGGGTCCTACTGCATGTCAGGGAGGTTGTCTAACAGGGGAGTTATATTTGAAGGAGCTGGACAGGTTGGCCTCATCCTTCCCTGTCGGCAGGGGAAGGCAGCAGAAGCATTTGCCTCAAGGATAGAGCACCAGTGCAGACACTCAAGCCGGCCATGGGGCTGTATTAGTTCCTTCTCACGCTGCTAATAAAGAAATACCCGAGACGGGGTAATTTATAAAGAAAAGAGGTTTAATTGACTCACAGTTCAGCATGGTTGGGGAGGCCTCAGGAAACTTACAATCATGGCAGAAGAGGAAGCAAACATGTCCTTCACATGGCAGCAGCAAGAAATGTCGAGCAAAACAGGAAAAGCCCCTTATAAAAATCATCAGATCTCACGAAAACCCACTATCATGAGGGCAATGAGGGCAACCACCCCCATTATTAAATCACCTCCTACTGGGTCCCTCCCATGACACGTGGGGATTATGGGAACTACAATTCAAGTAGAGATTTGGGTGGGGACACAGCCAAACCATTTCGGGGGCAAGGGCTGAGTCCCGGTGATACTCAGCAGCACCTCACACTCCTTCTCCACGACCTCGGAGCAACTCACAGAAACAAACATTACCAGGCAGGCCAACAGAGACCTCGGGCACTAAGATGAGTACACTGCCAAGAATCAAACATTTAAGGAGGAAGCATGAAAGAAAGACAACCAGTTCCCCAAATAGAAGAATGAAAGGCGGAGGAGAAGGAACAGTGATAACAGAAGACAATTCTTTTAAAAAGCAGAGGGAATATCCTCATTGGGATAAATATTCAATCCTGACAAACGAAGAAAAAAACCCTAATTAGGGCTCTTGAAAATTCAACAATATATAGTTACAAAAAGAAAAAACTTGAGAAGCAGAATGGACACAGGAATGAATGAACAAGCTGGAAAATTCAGCAAAGGCATTCTTAAAAAGAGCTAGATACAAAAGACCAAAGAATGAAAAGAATGAATCTGAAGAAACATACCTGCTCACATTCAAATCCAATAAGATCTAGAGAAAAGATAAGCCATCAAAATGTACACAGCAGTTATCTTTGATCAGTAGGATCATAGGTGATTTTTGTATTTATTTATAGGTAAAATTTCTTTCTATAATGAACAAGTTTTCTTTTATAATGTAGGTGACACACAAACACCCCTCCCCCTGGATTTTAACTGACCTCTGCTACATGGACAGTGCCACTGACTACACCCTTCCAGCCACCAGACCAGTTGTTTCCAAGAAGCTATGTAAACGTATGTCTCTATGAAGACCCAGCTCAGCTCTGCATGAGACAGGAAACCAACAGCAAAGTGCTCAAGTGAAGCCGAATATTAGAAAAGGCAGAATATTACAAAATTCATCATCAGTTTAAGGTAGGGGTGCATGGGAATGCACACATTCATGGTGTAAGAATAAAATCATATAATCTTTCTGGAGAGAAGTTGTACATGAATTTTTAAAGCCTTTGACCTGAAATTCCACTAAGAATTTAAAGAAATAATCGTGGATGTGAATAACATTTACCTACAAGGATGTTCATTACAGAGTAATGCATAATTAAGGGAAGTGGGAAATAATCTAGAGAACCAACGATAGCAAACTGGTTAAATTATGTTTTCTCAGGATAGAATATTATGCAACCCAAAATGACTCTGTAAAATCATACATTAGGGTGTAGGGAAATGCACACACTATATTACATAGAAAGAACAGTAACACGAGATGCAGTAAACACAAAAAATAGTAAATACGAGATGCAGAGAAAAATGGCAGGTGGGTCATCAAACCAAAATGTCAACAGTGGTTACAAACAGGCAGTAACGACATTCATTCTGCGTTTCTGAAATAAACACAAATTACTTTTGTAAAAAAAATAATAAAGTTTACAAATAAAAGCTATTTGAAAAAGGAAAGAGCTTCGCTCCGGCTCTGCCAATTAGGAAAATTAGCAGTGGTTGTTCACTTCTACCAAATCAACCCTGGAGAAACATAGAACCTAGGAATCTAAGAACTTAACAATCTAAGTCCTTAAGAAGGCTAGGTGTTCTGAAATGGTATGAGTTAGGAGATGAAGATAAGCAAAGACTGTGAGTACATAAAGGAAAGCTGTATTCTTTCCCTTTGCCCACTGAGACCTCAGTGTCATCACTGATTATCCCCTTACTGAAGAAATCAGGAGCAACTGCCCAAAGAACTAGCTTAAAAGTCAACTGGAGGCCGGGCACAGTGGCTCATGCCTGTAATCCCAGCACTTTGGGAGGCCAAAGCAGGTGGATCACTTGCGGTCAGGAGTTTGAAACCAGCCTGCCCAATGTAGTAAAACCCTGTTTCTACCAAAAATACAAAAATTAGCCAGATGTGGTGGTGGCACATGCCTGTAATCCTAGCTACTCGCGAGGCTGAAGCAGGGGAATCACTGAAACCCCAGAGACAGAGGTTGAAGTGAGCTGAGATCGTGTCATTGCACTCCAGCCTGGGTGACAGAGTGAGACTTTGTCTCAAAAAAAAAAAAAAAAAAAAAAAAACTTGATAAGCTGATTTTAAAATTTACATGGCCAACCCTTATGTATGTAAAACACTGTTGAAAAAGAATAAAAAGAACTTGCCCTATCAGATAATTGACTGATGCAGCTACAGTGATTAAGACAGTTGGTATTGGCAGAGACTAACGAATGGACCAACAGAACAAAGTAGAACCTGAAACAGATCAATACTTACAGAATGGCAGATTTGTGGAGGAAGTAAGGATTGTTCAATATAAAGAACTAGAAAAAAAATGGCTATCCATATGGAAAAAAATTACATTGAATTCCCTAAAATCATCTACAGATAGTTTAAGGACCTATATGCAAAATTTAAAATTTTTAGTGGAGAACAAAGGTAGGTGATCTGATCTGGGGTTAGGTGTTTCATTAACAGGATATGAAAACACTAGGCATAAAAGAAAAAAAAACAATCATTACACACAGTGTAACTTGTTTTTTTCAGATTGGGAAGAGATATTCGCAACATATATAAAGAACCTGTACCAAATAAATATGAAAGGACAAAGAACCAAATAGAAAAATGGGAAAAGACATGACCAGGAATTACACAATAAAAGATATTTCATATATATGTATAGCTAATTAACATATAAAGAGATGCCAACTTCATTCTTAAACATGAAAATACAAATTAAGACCACAATGAAATACAATTTTACACTTGTTCGACTGGTAAATATCAAGAATAATACTGAGTGTCGGGAGGTCATTTGGCAGGATCTCTTACACAGTGCTAGTGAAAGTGTATTTGGCACAACCACATTATTAAGTAATGCCACATTGTTTTCCAGAGTTGAACATTCACCCGTTTTATGATCCGGCAATTCCACCACTAGAGAAATTGTACACCAAGATATGTTAACGAAAACAAGAATGTTCAAAGCCGCACAGTCCACAACAAAAAAGCTGGAACCAATTCAAATGCTCACTAAAAGGAGAAAATAGGGTACATTCACATAATGTAACAGTAGACCACAGAGGGAAAAAAGAGAACTACAACTCTGTATAACATTGTGCGTTTTACTTGAGTCAAAAACAATAAGCCCGAAAGACTACACACAGCATGACACTCAAAGTTCAAAACACTGTATCTACTTTTTAAAAAGCAAGGGAATAGGCCAGGTGTGGTGGCTCATGCCTGTAATCCCAGCACTTTGGGAGGCCAGGGCAGGAGGACCACTTGAGCTCAGGAGTGCAAGACCAGCCTGGCTAACATGGCAAAACACTGTCGCTACAAAAAATACAAAAATTAGCTGGGTGTGGTGGTATGCACCCGTAGTCCCAACTACTCTAGAGGCTGAGGTGGGAGGATCGCTTGAACCCAGGATGTTGAGCTGCAGTGAGCTGTCGTGCCACTGCACTCCAGCCTGGGCAACAGAGCTAGACCCAGTCTCCAAAAAAAAAAGAAAAGAAAAAGGGGTGACGGGGCAGCAAGGAAATGATAAATAGAAAACTGAGGAATTCTTACCTTAGGAGGCAGTGGGTGGGGGCAGGGTACAGGATAGGGAAGGCCCCATAGGTAATTAAAAGTTATTGCCAAAATAATTGGTGGTATAGTGGGTTTCCTTAGGAACCGCTAACATTAGTAAAATATATAAATTAACATGAATAAAGTAAAGCAAGTCATACAGGGATCAATGATGACAATATCTCATGAACCAAGGATGATTTACCCTAATTCTATGCAACTGGAGCCCATCAAAAATAAAACAAAATGCTTTACCCCTTTTCACAATCTGTCAGTGGCTCTCCATTACATTAAGCCTCTTGTAGGCTTTAAGCTGTGAGATCAAGCTATACTCTATAAGAAAGGCAGGAAGGAATGGAGGGAGTGAAGAAGGGAAGGGAGGAAGGGAAGGGAGGAAGGGAAGGGAGGAAGGGAAGGGAGGAAGGGAAGGGAGGAAGGGGAGGGAGGGAGGTGAGGAAAGAAAAAGGAAAGGAAGATGCTGCAGCAATGAGTGATTTTTTTTTCAACTTTTTTGTATATTCAGGGGTACATGTGCAGGTTTGTTATATGGGTTAACTTGTGTCATGGGGGTTTGTTGCACAGATTACTTCATCATCCAGGTACTAAGCCTAGTACTCAATAGTTATTTTTTATGATCCTCTCCGTTTTCCCACCCTCCGCTCTCAAGTAGGTCCCAGTGTCTGCTGTTCCCCAATGAGTGATTCTTAAGCTAAGTCCAGCTCATCTGGCAGTGGCCAGTCGTTCGGGAAGTTAGGATGGAAAACAAGGGCCCTGCAAACTCCTCCAACACTCTCACAGTACTTGTGCACTTAGTTCCTTCTTCCTTACTTTGGAAGACCCTAACTTTCACTGTACAGCACGGCAGCTGCTGGCCACATGAGGCTACTTAAATGAATGAAAGTCCGTAAAATACAAATTCAGTTTCTCGGTGACATTAGTCACACGTCAGGCACTCAAGAGCTATGAGTGGCTACCATATCTGACAACACCAATGCAGAACATTCCTTCATCTTGGGAAGCTCTACGGCAAGCTTGTCCAACCTGTGCCCTACGGGCTACAGGTAGCCTAGGATGGCTTTGTGGCCCAACACAAATTTGTAAACTTTCTTAAAACATTAGATTTTTTGGTGAATTTTTAGCGCATCAGCTATCGTTAATGTTCGTGTATTTTATGTGTGGTCTCAGACAATTCTTCCGACGTGGCCCAGAGAAGCCAAAAGATAGGACACCCATGCTCTATGGGACAATGCTATTCATGGCAAAACCCGCCGTAACTTTTGCACCAAGATAGTGCTTTAAACCCATCCCAGCTGAAAAGGGGCATGGGACTTTGTCTATACACGAAGCAGGGTGGAGAAGTGCTGGAGAGGCAAGGGTTGGCACAGGGAGCCAGAGAGCTGAGGGGCCCAAACCCTTCCCGTGGGGTGTTCTGCAGCACCTCTCAAAGTCTGACAGAGCTTCAGACAGAGAAGTGAGGTGAACGGGACCTCAGGCTCGGCAGAAACTGAAACCTGCAATCCTTTTGCTCTGCCTCCAGGTGGCGGCCCCTCAAAACCCTCACCTGAGAGGGTGGGCACAGGTGTTCCTGAACATCCTGGCCCTGACTTCTGTTCCCTCTCTTCCTCTGTCCCTCCCTCCTCTACCAGCACCCATCTGCCCTGCCCTTCAAGGCTGCTTTGCTCTGAAACAGCTCCTCTGGGGAAGATCAGAGGCTAGCCCCTGAGAGATGTCAGAGTGCTCGCAGACACAGCGCCACAGGAAGTCAGAGGGTGCAGCCGCCATTCTTTTTGAAGCATTGGGGGAGGGGCGGGGGAGGTGTTTCACCCACCCGCTGGGAGGCAGAAGGTAAATCCTCAGAAGCAGGTCACTGCAGGCTGGGCCTTGTCCTAAGCAGTATCTATGTGGTGATCATCCCTTGCCCATCCCATTCCATCAGCCAGGACCAATAACCACAGAATATCACAGCAGAAAACATCCTTAAAGTGGCTCAGCCACAGCTGAGGAAACTGAGGCCCTGGGTGGGGAAGGAACCTGCACAAATTCACCCAGCCAGAGTGTGGCAGAATGGGGACAGAGCTACCAACTTCCCCGGCTCCTGCTCTTCCCACTGTGCATGCTGGAGTTTCCGGGGAGAGCCTCGAGTCCTCATACCTGTGCTCAGCGATCCTGTACCTCCCTGACCAGTGAGTGATCTTCACCCCCTCTGCTCTCTCACAGGTCCTAGCACAAGGCGGCCCATGCCCACGGGTGCCAGGCAGAGTAAGTGGCCTGGATGAGGGGGTAGGGCCTGGCAAGCAGCTGGGTTCAGCAGGTTCAGCCCTTTCCTGGTAGCCAGCCTGCCTTTTAGCCCTGAAGAGCTGTCTGGAACAAGGGGTCAGCTTGCCTGGGCCAGCTCAGCCAGCACAGGATGACAGAGGATCCCAGGCCAAGTGACCAGTCAGGGCTGAAGGGAGCTGGCCATGGGGCAGGAGGGAGAAGAGGGCTGTCAGGGGGACCTGGGCCCCTCCTCGGGACTCTCACAGCACCTAGGCTCCCTTATACAGCAGCTGCTTCCTCCAGTGGACCATGGGTGGAAGTGCTGGTGCTCATTCACCTTCATGTGCCCAGCACAGTATGAGGCACATAAGAGGGTACTCCAGCGAACAATTACTGAGCCAGAGAGCTGAGGGGTGGGAGGTCCTGTCCAAAGCAGCTGGAGCGGGCAGCAATCAAGAACATGGAACCTCATACCCCCGACTTCACCACCTATAATTATACGAGCAAAGGTCTCTTTCCTGATCTTGGGGTTTAGAAAGAGTTCATGGCAAGAGGCCCTTTAGAGCTACCTTTACAGAGCACTTCCCACAGGCTGGGCATTTCATTCTCATTTCCTCCTCAGGTCAACCCTATAAGGTAGGTACTATCACTGCCTCAAGGCTTACAACAGATTTTTTAAAAGTTGCCCAAGGTACGCTGCTTGTAAGATGCATGGTGGAGACTCAAATAGGAGTATGCCATACTGCAGAGACTGTACTCTGACCCAGTCTCCATTCATTCAACGAATCTCAGGGAGCATCAACCATGTGTCAGGCACGGTACTGGATGCCAAAAACAAAACCTGCTCTAGCAACCTGAGAGTTTTCACGCCAGTGAATGGAGGAGATAGACAATTAAAGAAACCAAACACACAACCCAATCACACAGTGCCAGGATGAGATAAATGCTATGAAGCAAAACAAAGTAGGGTAAGAGGGTAGGACAGGGGTTGCCACATTTTTTCTGCAGAAGTCCAGATAGTAAATATTTTCTACTTGGCTGGCCGGCTTTGCAACACAGTCTTTGTCATCACCAAGCAACTCTGCCAAAGCAGCCACGGGCAATATGTAAATGAATGGGCATGGCTATATTCCAATAAAACTTCATTAACAGACATTGAACATACAGGATTTTATAATTTTCACGTGGTAGAAAATGTTATTCTTTTTATTTTTTTTCCCCCATTATTTAGGAATATAAAAACCATGGCAGGATGCAGTGGCTCACACCTGTAATCTCAGCACTTTGTGAGGCTGAAGGGGGTGGATCACTTGAGGTCAGGTTCGAGACCAGTTTAGCCAACAAGGTGAAACCCCATCTCTGCTAAAAACACAAAAATTAGCCAGGCATAGCGGTGTATGCCTGTAATCCCAGCTATTCAGAGGCTGAGGAAGGAGAGTCACTTAAACCTGGGAGGTGGAGGTTGCAGTGAGCCAACATAGTGCCACTGCACTCCAGCCTGGGCGACAGAGTGAGACTATCTCAAACACAAACAGCAAACAAACAAACACTCAGTTTGCAAGTTGGACAAAAACACATGTCGGCCCAGATTTGGCTGCTATAACTTGCCAATTTCTGGGAAAGAGCGGCTGGTGTGAGTACATGAGGATGCACTTTAGACAGGATGGTCGAGGAAGGCCTTGCTGAGATGACATGTGAACAGAGACCTGAATGAGGTCGAGGAGAGCGCCCTGAGCTCCCAGCAAAGGGAACAGCACGTGTCAAGGGCTGGCCACATGAATGGGAAGCAGGGGGAAGGTGGAGAAGCCCGCAAGGGTTAGGGAGGTCAGCAAGAGCCAGGTCACGTGGGCCTCTTGGCGAGGACCTTGGTCTCAATGTGACAACAAGCTACTGAGGTCTGGCATTTGCGAGCTTCATGACTTTGGGCAAGTTATTCAACCTAAGCCTCATTTTCTCATCAAAAATGGAAACAATAATAGCACCTGTCTCAGCATGTGTTGAGGGACCAAGTGAGTGTCATGTGCTAAATGAATGTCAGCTGCCAATGTTAACAATGACATCAGTGTCCAGCCGGATGAGGCGGCGCTGGGAGGAGTGGCGATGACTTTCATCCAACTCACCCACAATGTCCACCACGTCTGGCCGGATGAGCGGCTCTCCGCCTGTGAGCCGGATCTTGTCAATGCCTTCCTTCACAAAGAGTCGGGCAAGGGTCAGGATCTCCTCTGTGGTCAGCAGGTTGGCCTTGGGGGTCAGCGGGACCCCCTCCTCGGGCATGCAGTACTGACCTGAGGGAAGGATGAATGGGGATGTGGAGGGAGGAAACAGGCATGGCCATAGCCCTGTGATGCCTCCACTCCCCCAACTCTCCATCAGGCCAGTCTTCTCAAACACATCTGGACATGAGCAGAGACCTCACTAAATCTGAGGTGAAAAAACCCCAGACCAGCATCTCCCCAGGCCTGACCTTTCTCATTTCTAAAACATTAACACCCTTCCCTATGCCCAACACACACAATCTGGCCATAATATCCCTCAGTGGGAGGCCGAGGGCATGGGTTAGAGATGAAGTACGCTGAGGGCAGAGCCTGGCCTCACTTCCTGGGCTGAGTGCACCTGGGCAGGTGGAAGGCAGGAAGAGGGGAAGGGGAGAAGGGTGGAAGGCAGACGGGGGAAAGAGGGTGAGGCAGAAAGAGGAAGGGGAAGGGGAAAGAGGTAGAGGAAGGGGAAGGTGGGGAGGAAGGGAAAGTGGGGGACCGGGGAAAGGGGAGGGGGATGGAGAAGGGGAGGGGGATGGAAAGGGGAGGGATGAGGCAAAGGGGAGGGGGGATGGAGGAAGGGGAGGGGATGGGAAAGGGGGAGGGGGGAGGGTGAAAGGGGATGGGGGATGAAAGGGGAGGGGGGGAGGGGAAAGGGGTGGGAAGGGACGGGGGACGGGAAAGGGGACGAAAAGGGGGACGGAGAAAAGGGGGACGGAGAAAAGGGGGACGGAGAAAAGGGGGACGGAAGGAAAAGAGAAGGAAGATCAACTTTGGAAGTCCCTCCAGCAGTGGCTACAGGTCCAGAGCAATCTTTGCAAGGATTATGAAATGAGGCCTCTTTGTTATCAGCCTGGTCCTGGATGATTTGTCACGGGACTGGGGCACCTCCAGAGTCAGCAGTGCTGGCATGGGCATGGCTGTCTACTTCACATGTTTATAATGTCCACCACCCCACCCCTGGTCATGTCCTGGACTTCGGGAACTACAGGGAAACAGAAGGAAGGACCCCTGAAGACTGAGAGGTCCAAGACCCAATCTTAATTCTAAATCCAACTGCATTTCTGTTTTCAAATCTAATCCCAAGTAGGACACAGCTTCTACAATCATACAACTCAGCCTTGACCCCTATCTTACCCCTGAAGCCCACCTGGCCTGGTAAGCAAGGGGTAGCGGGTGAGGAAGTTAGAAAGCAGAACTGGAGGATTCAGGAGGATTTCCAGGCACAGGGAGATTTCAGAGGCTGCTTGGGCAGAGGGACACCAGCCCAGAGGGGGCCCAGGAAGGTGACTCACATCTGAGGTTGCACTTCTCCGTGAGGGAGATCCGCAGGTAGCTGTGCTGCCGGCCAAAGCTGTCTGTGAGGAAGGCGGAGAAGGGGGCCACATGCTCCCGCAGGAACTGCCTCCGCCTGGACAGCTCCTGCAAAGACAGGGCAGGGAGGAAGCATGGGCCCTTGCTACTGGGCTGGGGAGAGGCGCAAGGAGAACCACCTGCCCCCTCCCTTACTCTGACATCTGTGCGGAGCTTCTAACCCTTCCACATGTTTGGGCTCTGCCATGTTGGGGAAGCTAGGATTGTCCCTCTCATTGAAAAATGAGCTTGAGGAGAAAGACCCACCCTTTAAGTGTTCAGCTCGGGGGTGGGGTGCGGGTGGTGATCTCTGCTGGGAGGATTTCTGGCTGGGCAGCAATATGGAAGCAAGGGTGTGGGGGAATCTATTAGCCCTTATTCTTCACTCTAGCCAGTGCCAAAAAAAAAAAAAGGATTGTGCACCCATGATCTCCAGCATTCGCGCATAAATGGGAAGACACTGCTGAAGGCCACAAGCAAGGCCCAAACCCGTCCTGCAGAGAAAAAGGAGCGAGCCAGCTTCACCCTTTCCCATGTACAAGTCTGAACTAGTTTGATCCATCTCCCCTTGATGTATCAGTCCTTGGAGAGTACCACCTGGGTCCTGATAGATGCTGATGAGATAATTGCTCCAAGGAAGTAACATTTACCAAGCATCTTAAAGTTTCCAAAGAACATTCTGTTTCGTTCCCACACCCACTCCACACGGGATTATTATAACTAAGGCTTGGATGGGGTCCAAGAACACCCTCGGCAGAAGCGGGATTCAAATCCAGGTCTTCAGATTCCAGGTTCTAAATTCCTCCCTTCTATCACACAGAGAGAGTCTAAGAAGATAGGGAGGATGACAACTAGGGTGGGTAGAAGTCACTTCTCTAGAACATTTCAGACAAAAAAAAATCACAACCCTGGAAGTCATGCATGAGATCTACAGACAAGGTTCTGGAATGGGGACAAGAAACCCTGGTTTCTGCAGCAGGTATGACCTGGCACACTGTGAAAGTCCCTTAACTTCTCCAGGCCTGCTTTCCCAGTTGTAAAATAAGAATACAGCTATAGGCTAAAGGTTGTCTTGCTAGGAGTAAAGACGGGGGCCGGGTGGTAGTGGTGGTATTGGAAGATGGTAGGTGAACACCTAAAATTATGATGGAGAGTAGAAGGCCTCCGGCCCTCCAGAGGTCCAGCGCAACTATGCCTACATTAGGAGGAAGAAGTATTTGCTTCAGTAAGTTCCTCGGCTCCAGCTGCACATTAGAACCATCTGGAGAACTTTAAAAAAAGATTCCAGTGGAGACTGACTAAATATGGATCTCTGAAGCTGTTATGTTTTCAACCTCTCCAGGTAATTCTCATTGGCAGCCCTTGACTGGGTCAAGAGCCACTGAATGGTTCAAAGATAAGAGACATGAGTGTGTGTGTGAGGCTGCTCTTGATTTTCTGGGCCCATAAAACATTCCTCACTCTACCCATCCCAGGAGAATTTCTCACCTCCTCTGAGAAGCCCTGCTCACCATCCTGTGGGGAGTAAGTAGCAGTCACTTCTCTAACTGCAGTCTGCTATACTCACAACAGTCACTTCCTGCCTCCCTGCGGTGTGATGGAGAAAACTCAAACTCGCCCCATTGCCTTTCCACAGACAGCCTCAGGGGTGGGGCGGGGGCCCTCCATAATCAAGAATTCCATCAGCCACCAGAGTCCAGATGAGATACCTGGGAATCTGGATGTACTGCCGTGCTGTGCCTTCTTTTTCATCAACAGCTATTTGCAATTCAGTCATGTTAGTCACCCCAGATTCTGCCTCTTCACTTGCCAAGATACCCCACTGAACCCAGTCTTAACGTGTTGGGGGGATGGGGTGGCTGGATGGGGGAGGAGTCAAAATAAATCAAATAATTGGGAGGTGAGAGGACCAAGGAACGTGATTCAGCAGAAATCTGAGCGCAAGCAGTGTGATGGAGCAATCAAGTATGGAATTAGGGGCTGGGTGTGGTGGTTCACGCCTGTAATCCCAGCACTTTGGGAGGCCGAGGAGGGCAGATCACTTGAGGTCAGGAGTGCGAGATGAGCCTGGGCAACATGGTGAAACCCCATCTCTACTGAAAAATACAAAAGTTAGCTGGGTGTGGTGGCAGGAGTCTATAATCCCAGCTACTCGGGAGGCTGAGGCAAGAGAATCGCTTGAACCCAGAAGGCAGATGTGGCAGTAAGCCAAGATTGTACCACTGAACTCCAGCCTGGGCAACAGAGCGAGGCTCTCTCAAAAAAAGAATGGAATTTAGTGCTTTTGTTCTGGCAATGGGAGAGGCTGGTCAGATTTCACTTTTAAGAACTTTTGTGACCCTATGTGTACCAACCATTCTGAATCGAGCCTCCTAAACACAAACACTCTCACCTTGCCAGCAATGCAAACTCATTACTTAGATATTAACGAGCCTCATTCCTGCATCTTCTCTCCTCTAATACTGCATGCCCTACTTTCATTCTACTTTTTTCCCTGTCCCTTAAATCCCCTGGAGAAAAAAAATATCAGCACCAGTCAAAGGAGCCCAAGATTCAGAGGGAATTACAGGACAGAGTAGACAGTAACTCTGCTTGCTCAGGAGGGCTGGGACATGTCAGAAGTAGTAGGAAGCCCTAAACGAATCATATTCCCAGGGTCCCAGCCTGGCCCGGCCTGTTTCCTCTCTGTGAGAAGTCATCCTGCCTGATTCAGTATCCCCAGTGTCTAGCACAGGATGTTGGTACATTTTGAATCACATGAACAAATAGTCCTGTCCCTAACAGAAAGGTCGTATATGCAAAACCCAGTTACATGAGGGTAATCATTTCCCGGCTGGTCTCTACTGTCAAAATGGTTTAACCTGGTACAGTGGTTCGAAACCCTGGCAGCACATCAAAATCACTCAAGGAGCTTCAAGGACTGATGACAGAGCCCCGTCCCAAAGATTCTAGCTTAACCTAGTGCCTCAGCTGTGCAGCCAGGGCTGAGAACCATCAGCCTAGTGACGCCAAGCGCTAGGTGCTATTTGAATCCAGGGCGAGTTGTTGTGGTTCTGAGTACAGGATTTGGAGTAGGTGAGCCTATATTACAAGCCTGGTCTAGCTGTTGAGCAAGTCACCTAAATTCTCCAAACCTTAGTTTCCTCATCTATGCCGTGGAAATAATAATCCAACCTAACTCAACTGGAGGAGTTCCTGGCACAGAGGTTTCCAATCATTGATCCGTGGAGGAACACCGTTGTGTGCTGTGATCAGTTTTTCTAGTTTGTCAGCTTCCCTTCCCTTCCAAAACCCTGGCCTTCCAACCCTACTAACAGCAGATGGCCAAAGCTGCTGCCACACCACCCACGTGGGGTCTGAGCATCCCCAGGACCCCCAATACTAGTGTGCTAATAAGCAGGCACCAGGCAGCCTGCCAGACACTACTGGTCATCTCATGTCTACCCAATGCAGATTGGGGTGGGGTGAAGGGGGTGGGGTGAAGGGGGTGGGGTAAAGGGGGTGGGGTAAAGGGGGTGGGGTAAAGGGGGTGGGGTAAAGGGGGTGGGGAAGGGTGGGACAAAGACGTTAAAGCGGGACCCTGCCCTCAAGGTGCCTTCCTCTACTAGTCACTAATCTTGGGCATCTATTTGACTGTTAAAGGCTAGCCCTCACATAGCTCCAAAGTCTAAACAGAGTAGCAGGGTTATTCAGGAGAAAAAAAGCACATTCCGAATCTAAGTATCAGTGGCCCTGATTTACCCTGCTATTGGGATGATGTATACTAAGGGCCTCTTAAAATTAATCTCTTTTAAATGAGAGGACCCAGCAAAGAGCCTAGCCTAGCCTGATTCTCCTTCCCCTCCCCTCATTCCCACCCTAAGTGTGATGTCTTTACACCTATGGCTTCCGACAAGGACAGTCACATTTCGCTGAAACATGGATTTTGAGGAGCTGGGCAGATTGGAAGTCAAGATGACCCCCTGAAAAGCCCTCTTTCCCTCCTCCCCCTCATTCTCCCTCACCAGGCCCTGCTGTACTCCTCCTACCTTCACCCACACCCACTTCCTTGCAGCCTAACCCCTAGCCAGCATTTGTTTTTTCTGGCCCCCTGAACAGCTGGGTGCCTTTGCCTTGCCTAGACTCACTCTCCCTGCTTCCCCCACCACAGGCAACAGGCTTCATTGTTGCCCAACAAAGCCCTTATGGAGCCTCAGAGGGAGAAAGAGGGGTACAGCACTCCCAGGCGGGGCTGAACCCTGCAAAGATTGTCTGGGCCACCTCAGACACATGGTGGCAGGTCGCTGTGTCTCCTCCACCCACCTCCCCATTGACCCACACACTACCCCTTTCCATATATAGCAGCTACTCGACCTGTTCTTGAACTCAGCCCACGGCCACCTTTCCGTACAGCCAGCTCCCACTTACACCTCACTTCTCTCCCTCACACCCTCACCCCGCCACACAAACAATGCCCAGTGGCTTTCCATCCTAGCTCTCCAAGCACCTCCCATCCCAAACCAGACTACCAGAGCCCTGTGTGGGCGTGTTGGGAGAGAGAGACCCTGCAAGAAGGGGTTCAAGGTGTCCCCACCCCAATTGGCAAGCTATAGGAGATGAGCAGAACATATCCACTTCCAGACTCACTTCCCCTTAGAGTCTCCTCAAGACAGATTTCTGTGCCCTCCCCCATCTTACGATGGGCTGGCCCAACCCTCTTATTTTATAAACATGAAGCAAAGGGAAGTGACAGCCCCAGGAGCCAGGTGAAATTGGAGGCGAAACTGGCAGGTGAAAACATGGGACTCCCTGTCCAGTGTTGGTCTACTATGCCACATGACTCGAAGTTTCAAGCAGCTACAATTATTGGCTGAATCCACTGCCTGCACAACCCTGTGTTAAGCGCTTGTGGGGATAGAAAAGCAGAGGTGCACCCAGCCCTCGGGAACTCCCAGTCTGCTGAAGATAACCCTAAGAGATGTCCAGGATTTAATGTGAGTTGACAGAATAGCTATCCAACAAGTCCAGATGGGAGGGGACTCACAGGACACAGCATGTGCCAGTGGCAGCATGGATAATAGTAATTACCACCAACATTTACATAACACAGCACTTACACGGGCTAAGCTTTGTTCTAAGTATATACGTTAACATATGTTAACTCTTTTAATCCCTGTGACATTCTATGAAGTAGACACTTTTATTCTCACTTTGCAGATGAGAAAACAGACACCGAGGGGTAAGGGGACTTGGTGAATCCCCTAATAAGGGATGGGGCTGCCCCAGAGTCTATGTTCTCCTTTCTGCCACATTACCCCTCCCTTCACAGTGTAAAGGGATGGACAGGAGCAGGTTCTCTCCCTGGCCTCCACACAGGGAGGACAGAAAAGCATTAGAGTTCCTTGCCCTCTACAGCTCTGCGACTGGAGGAAAGTTAACTTCGATTAGCCCCTTCACCTGAACATACAAACTCTCCTCACCTTACATGGCTTAGTGAGGACTAACGGCTTCCACATGTGAGCCACTCAACACAGGTTCTCTCATGAAACACCAGTACAAAATAAACTGGGGGTTGGGGGAGTGGAGAAGAAACGTCCCCTTTTCTTGAATTCTTTAAAGATCTCTCAGCCATCTTGGCTTTACTATCTCTTCAATGATGTTCAAGAGTTCGAGGATACTAAAAAGTCTTCACTTCCCAACCATGGGCCTGCTTATCTGAGGATCCCAGAGGGGCTTAGGTTTGGGGAAAGCAAATGTGGCGGAAGTCATTGAGCAATATGGGGGAGGAGGGAGCAGTGATCTTATGAATCCCAGGACAGGAAGCCTAGTTCTGGGATATGGGAAAAAACGACTAGCTAGGTACCGAAAAGAGGTTTCACTAAATGAAAAAGAGGTGCTTTTCCCCTCAAATTACTCCCTAACCACCTGAGCAGAAGAACAACCAAAACCTAAAACTTTTCATGACTTGAAACACTCTGAGGGGTGCTGTCAAGGTCAGAGGGATCTTCCCGAAACCCTAAAGTCAGAGCTATTAATTTCTAACCTGTAAGAGGCCAGTCCTGCTCTGTTCTGGCTGAACCCTCCCAAGGTTCATAAAAATGAGACAAGGAGAGTCAGCAAAGGATGAGTTACAGAGCCCTGGGACTACAGTAACAACTCACCGTTGGTGACACCGAGGTGACATGTTTAGTCAGTCACACTATGAAGCAGGTGTCACAGGGACACCTGATCTCTGAGCTCTGGGGCTAGGGAGGGAAAATGTTTAAGAAAGAGGGTGGGTGCAAGGCAAGGCTGAAGGGTACCAGTAAGATATCTCACTGGACCCAAAGTCCCAGTCCTCTGCTTACCCCAATTTCTGGCCAAGCTCAGAGCCGGCAGGGGTGGCGTGGCAGGGGTGGCGTGGCTGGGGGGCAGGGAGGTTCTGAAGCGGGACTCCCAGGAGCCTCTCCCGCTGGGTTAGCGGGTGAGACCGGGAGGTGCATCTGGAGAACATCCTTCCACTGAGGAGTGCCAAGGGGTCCCTCCTAGAAGCGGCAAGCAGATAGGCCGGGAGCTACTGGGGGAAAAGGGCAGTGTGCCCGGCCCACTCCCGCCCCGGGAAGCTGTGGACACAGGCGGGGTGGGCTCACCTCCGAGGCAGCTCGCGCGGACTCCCCGGGGCGGGGCTGTGTCACTGGAGCCCCTGAGCTGCAACTCCGGGCGCTGGACCTCAGGAGCCGCCGCAGCATCCGGGACAGCGGCTGCGCCGCCATGAAGCCTGACCCCAGCAGAGCCGCAGCCCACAGCCGGCTTCGGGAGCACACTGGCCGGGCACTCGCCCCCGGGGTCATCCCAGCAGGGGCGGGGAGGGGCGGGAGGAGGACGGGACCCGCGCAGCCAATAAGCTAGGACGCCGTCCCGCGTGGCCTTGTGGGAGCTGTAGTACACTCCCTGTGCCCACTTTCCTGGGCCGTGGTAGAGCTCTAGGGCAGAAGGGTAAACTCAGGTGGGGAACAGGGTTCTTTTCCTTCCAGTTTTTCTGGCTGCTCTACTCTCAGATTTAGGTCGTGGTGTGACAGTAGGCAGGACAGGACAAGGGCCAAATGAATGAGGCACTGCCTTGGGTGCGAAATTTAAGAGGGTGCCAGCAAAACTCCGGTTATAATTTTTTAATGTAATATTTCAAAAAATCGTAATAGATTTTCAGAAGTCCGTGAAATATCAACGTTCTAAATAAAAAGATCGATCCTACACTTGCATGACTCACCTCACTCAGTGCACCATAGTGCAGATTGTGGTTATAAAACAGGTCTTTTAAGATACACTTCTCCAGGTGTGCCCCAAAAGGATATTAACAATCTTGCCTTCTCCATGAAAAAAAAAAAAAGTACATGAGAAGAAGTCACAGAATCAGTGGACAACATTTTTGAAATGCTTCTTATACACCAAGCACCATGCTAAATGTTATTTAAAACAATCCTGGTATGAATAGAATGTCCATTTTGCAACTGAGGACATTGAGGCTCAGGGAGACCAGGTAATTTTCTCGAAGTCACACAGCTGATGGTGGGTTTCAAACCCAGAGCAATCTGCTTTCTACAGTCATTCAGTCAAGATTCAATATGTGTTGGGAATGGTGGGGCGTGCCTCTTCCTGTCTGTAAAAAGTAGAGTGCTGTAGTCCTTTAAGATTTTGGATAACACACACAATGATGAGCTTATGTACTAAGAATAATTATGCTCAAACCAGCCTGTTGTATCCAAAACCCTATCCCTGTAGAATTGCAAGAATAAAACACCGGCTGGAACATACGGCTGCCAAGTGTATGCTTAGGAAGTGGGGATATAGTTCCTGATCTTGAAGAATTGACCGAATAGTGGGAGAGGAAAGAATAACCGAATATAACTGACTTTTACAAATGCAGTGAGACTGTCAGAAAAGCTGAGATGATTTTAGACTTAGATTCAATGTGAGTTTCTCACAATGATACTCAAAATTCAGAAAATACATTGTGGGGGATGAAAGTGTATCTGGGATATGTTTGAAATGGATACGACAAGTATGCCAGAGGTCTGTTTACAAGGGGCCTGAAGACCAACTGAGGACTGTTCAAGCTCTGTCCACTGCTAAGTTTAGATACGTCTGGATTTATCAGGGAAACTGAGCATGGGGACAAGAAGGCTAAAAAAAATTTTTTGGGTGGATATGAGGCTTGAAGAGCTTTCTAGAGAGGACTCAACCTCAGGGAAGAAGCCACCTGACATATGAACTTGATCCAAGAATGTCATTAGCTCCATGAAGCGTCTCTAGATTCTACCCTCTTCAAATTGTATGTGATGATCCCTTCACTTGGGCTTTGCTGTTATCTTTTGTAGAACTTGGGTCCTCAAGGCAAGACCTAAGGCTTACTCAGTTATGTTTGAAGGCTGAAATCCTCTCCATATTATCACACATCTACTTGGACTCCTCTAGTGCTGGGAAACTTTCTGGCTTCCTGATGTTGCCTGCTCCACTTAAATGTCTCCCCACCTATTAAAGTTCTTACTTGTATTCAGCAAAAAAAGTGCCCCTTTCTGTCAACATATAGTGATTAAGTGTCATCAGGGCCAAATCCTCTGCTAATGGCTGGGAATAAGGAAATACTTCCAAGGGCTCACAGCCTGCAGTAGGGCTCTGATGTGGCAAATCCATGGATTGATTTGGAGGGTTCTGTAGACTCCTGAACTTGAATGCATAATACTGTATACTTTTTTTTTCCCCCCCTGGGGAGAGGTGGCTTTTTGTCACATGCTCAAAGAGGCTTATGGAACATACTATCCTAGAAATCTCTCTTTTGTGTTGCCCTCCTATTGGCCCTAGTTTTAGCCCCCTGGGCGTATACATCCTCTCTTTAAGACTTTAACCCAAGTACTCTCTTAATGATAAACAGCAGCAGTTATTGCCAACTCTTATACACAATGTCTTGTGAGCCACTGCACCATCTTCTCTAATACAATTTGGTTTGCCTAGGTCCTGGTGGCAGACTGTATTTGCAAGACGGCTGCAACAATATTTCCTGTCTCATATGTTCTAGAGCTGTGTTGTCCAATAGAAACTTCTGCAATAATGGAGATATTCCATGTCCTCACATAGCTGTTGAACACATGAAATGTGGCTAATGTGACTGAGAATTGGATTTTTAATTTTATTAAATTGTCGTTAATTGAAGTGTAAACAGCCATGTGTGGCTACTGGCTACTGTATTATTCAGCACTATGATAGAACTTTGCTTTCTCCAGAAGGGGTGGAATCAACTTTCCTCCCTTTGCATCTGGGTCAGTTTGTAACTTGTTTGTAACAGTGTAAAAGTCATACTGCATGGCTTTTGAGACTAGGTTAGAAAATATGATACAATTCCCACCTTACAATTTATCTATAGTGATCTGGTCTCCAGCTGACTGGAAGATGTTTCTCCTTATTCCCCACCCATTCTCTCTGCATTTGACTTTCATCTCCCAACTCCCCCCAACAAAAAAAGATCCAGGATATGATTTCCAGCCGTATGTCCATTGTCTCTTCTAATAGGAGCCTCAAGTGTCCAGTCATCTGAATATTCATTCAGACCTATCCCCTATTCTATAACTGTGGACTCTCCTTTCAATTTTAAGCATTTTAATGAAGCAATAAAGTTTCAAAAAATATTGTATCAACTATTCCTATCATTTCTCTTTTGAGGACCTTGTTGAGGATAGTCTTTATTTGTCCCTCCAGATCCTTCTCCACCCTGCTCTGAGGACCAGGAGGTTGACTTCTACCAACTGCATTGATGGCATCACCCAGCTGCACTGATGTCTGGTTTCCAGGTGGATCTTGCCAATAGGGAGCATGGCGGGAGATCAGAGAGCAGGAGGAGAGAAAAGCTGGAATATCTATTCTTCCCGATCCCTCCCTGTTTTGCTCTGGCTACAGCTGTAGTTGGTGTCATCTGGCCCCTCTGCCATGATTCCACCTCCCACTTAGTCCAGTAACACTATTTCTAACACTTGTTTCTTCACTTCAGACTGGGGTGAGATTGGCTTTCTTCTGCTGATTGTCCTTGGATGCCTCAACATTCCTGTTGACCCACCCCCCTACCTTAACCTTGCCCACACCTCCAAAATAGTCCCTGTATTAAAATATCCCTTCAAACATTTTAGCTGAGTATGCCATTTCTCGCTGGTTCCCTGACTGATACAGGATTCGTGGACTTCTCCCTTCCATAGTACCCTTTGTTAATAGTAGCAATTACAACAGTGATATCATTTATTTATATGCCTTCTGCACTATAAACCCTCTGAGGGCTGGTGCCAAATCTAAATTATCTGTAATCGTAGCACCTAGCATGGTATTTAATGCACAATAGGCTCACAATAGGTACATTAAATGGCAGAGTCCATATCCTTGATTTGCCTGTCAGTAAGATGGCTGTTATGCTTTGGATATGGTTTGTTTGTCCTCACCAAATCTCATGTTGAAATTTGACCCCCAGTGTGGCAGTGGTGGGAGGTGTGGGTCATGGGGGTGGATCCCTCGTGAATGGATTGGTGCTGTTCTCTTGCTAGTAAGTTCTAAGGGGAATGGATTAGTTCCCATGAAAGTGCATTGTCATAAAGCCAGGACACTTGTCCAGTTTGGCCCTTTTGTGCTGATGCTAGCTTCCCCTTTGACCTTCTCCACCATATCCTGACATAGCACAAAAGTCTCATCAGAGGCTGAGCAGATGCAATGTCATGCTTCTTGTAATGAGATAAATAAACCTCTTATCAATTGCCCAGCCTCAGGTATTCCTTCTATAGAAGTACAAAACAGACTAAGACAGCTGTATCAGTCAGCCTGGGCTAGATTGTACTGTTATAACAAGTAACTCCAATATCTCAAAGGCTGAAAATAACAAGTGTTTATTCTCTCATTTGGGCTACATGCCCAGCAAACGTATATTTATCTGCTTTACATTGCTGTAAAGGAATACTGGAGACTAATTTATAAAGAAAATAGGTTCATTTGGCTCATGGTTCTGTGGGCGTAGAAGAAGCATGGTACCAGCGTCTGTTTCCGGTGAGGGCTTCAGGAAGCTTCCAATTATGGTGGAAGGCAGAGGGGAGCAGTCATAACATGGGAGAGGAGGGAAGTCACAATATTTAAACAATGAGCTCTTACATAAGCTAATAGAATAAAAACTCACTCAGCCAAGCGCAGTGACTCACGCCTGTAATCTCAGCACTTTGCGAGGCTGAGGCAGGCGGATCACCTGAGTTCGGGAGTTCGAGACCAGCCTGACCAACATGGAGAAACCCCGTCTCTACTAAAACTACAAAATTAGCCAGGCATGATGGCGCATGCCTATAATCCCAGCTACTCAGGAGGCTGAGGTGGGAGAATCGCTTGAACGCTGGAGGCGAGGTTGCAGTGAGTCGAGATGGCGCCATTGCACTCCAGCCTGGGTGACAAGAGTGAAACTCCGTCTCAAAAACTAAAACAAAAACAAACAAAAAAACACAAAACCTCACTCATCACCTAGGGGATGACATCAACCCATTCATGAGGGATTTGTTCCTGAAGCCCAAATGCCTCCCACCAGGCCCCATCTCCAACATTGGGGATCAAATTTCAACGTGAGATCTGGAGAGGACAAACATCCAAACTATATCAAAGAGTTAGCTGGGAACTTTGTTTGCCATCAGTGTTGCCCTCACTCTGGGTCCCAGGCTGATGGGGCAGTGAATATTCACATAGAACATTGGTGCTTACCAAGAGGGAAAAAGAGTGTGGCAAACAGCACACTGGCTCTTACAGCTTCTTCCTGGAAGTATCACACATCACTCTGCTTGAAGCAAGTCACATGGCTGCATCTAATTTCAAAGGGAAGAACAGCTTAGTCCTCCCTCAGAGAGGGGAA